TAGCTCTTGGCACCTCTGCAGTTTTTCATTTATACCCACATCAGTCGCATTCTGCAGCTTGACATTACGGTGTGCCAATTGGAATTTCAACGAAAACGCAGCTTCTTAGCTTTAAAGGACCGCAAGGCTCTGTGAACTGAAGTTCTTAGGGGTGAGCGATATATTTCTGATAAATCCATTAAAACTCTCTTTTGGACAGTTACAAAATTGAAGGTTGAACTTTAACAAATAAAAATTTAATTAACTTAAATTTTTCATTTTATTTAATAAAGAGAGAGAGAAAGAGAGAGAGAGAATAAGGGCAGAAACATTTGCTTGGTTTTTATAATAATAAAAAATGTAATTCAATTTAGTTAAAACCTGTCTTAGTATAGGTCTACATATTATCATAATCAAATAGGGAGAGAGAGAGGATAGATTCTTCATGTTTTTTATGATAATGACAACATAATTAAATTCATTTACCTCTTCTGCTGCAAAAATAGAGTTTAAATTAAAAACATTTCCCATTTTTTTTAAATCAAAATGAAAACGTTTTTTTTCAATTCTAATTTGTTTAAAGTGCAATTTGCGTGCACCTTTGGAAAAATTGTTGTGGCATTTAATGTAAACCATTTTGGCATTGAATTGCTCTCAAATCCAAAAATTGGAATGTAATTAATGCCACAAAGAATTACTTCAAAATAGATACTTTTTGCTGTTTACCAATAATTATGCTGAATTTCGAGCTCAATTTGTTGCTGCTTCAGACTTGTGTCATTTGCATTCATTAAATATTTGAATCATATTCCAATTTAGTTTACATAAATATTTCGTTTATTTTCATGACACCCATGAACCACCTCCCACGTCCCCACGTCCCCATGTCCCCACGTCCCCATCTCCCGTCTCCCGTGTCCTGCGCAAAGTGCGCACTCATATGGAATATTTTCGGTGATGATCAATTTGACAAATCCTGTCTAGGGCTTGTGCCATGATGCCAGCCAGTTAAATTTATTGCTGTTGCTGTTGTTGTTGTTGTTTTTATTGTGAAGTTAGTTAATAATATTAAATTTGCCGAGCAGCTGCAGAAACTGAAGTGCTGAGCGTTTCCCCCGATGCTGCATGGGTAATTAATTGGTAGACGTTGGGGGGAGGGGCGGGTGTAGACGTGTGCCCAGGTGCCCAAAGTAGGCCTTATTGCCTGACTGTTGCCAAACAGTCTTGCTGACGAATTGAGCTATTGACGCATTGGCGAGCAAACTAGATACATTGTTGTTGTTGTTGTTGTTGCGTCTCTCGTGAGCGCAAATTAAATGCAAATTCAATTAATTTGAAGCAAACAATTTGCTTAAATTAATTAATTGAATGTGAATCTAAAGTGCTTCCAATTTAACGCTGAAGAGCAGCACAGACGCAAGGCGTGGGGGGAAAGGCTGCTGCTTGAGTGCGCGTGTGTGCGCCTGTGTGTCCTCGTGTGTGCGTGGGCGTGGCATTTATCGAAAATTATTGGCATGAAATGTTTTTGGGCAATACATGAAGCGTGTTAAATGAAAGGGTGTTGCACAGGGGGGGGGGGGGCAGGCTGCTAGGTTCGATGCTCGGCTTACCGCAAACGCTGGCAACTCTGGCGTATGCGTAATTTGCATTTGCGTTGCATTGGATTGCGCTGCATTTCGTTGCGTTGCGCTGCGTTGCGTGCATTAAGTAAACTGTTCACTTGAAAATCAACTCTAAAATAAACAGCAGCCACCAATATGCACACAAATGCAAATACAGTGTGCCCATGTGTGTGTGCGTGTGTGCGAGTGTGTGTGTGTGTGGGCGTGCGGCTGCCGCAGTGCAAATTTTCGGGCCGCTATGAAAATGGCTCTTCAATGGTTAACCAACAATATGGCAACAACTGCTGCAAATTCAATGGCTGACGGCCATTACAGCTTTCCGGCTCAGCTTTCCCCGCCTCCTACCCTTACACGCCACTCCACTTCAACCCACCCTCCCCACCTCTATGAAGCCAGCACAGCTAGTGGCACATTTCTACAACCAATTTTGTTTGCATTTTATATTTGCCAAGTTTTTATCGCTCGTTATTCACGTTCGCTCGCCAGAGAGCAGCAAATTATGCGCCTGATTAATATGCGTTCAATGTAAGGTAGACCCCCCACTCACCCACCACCCACCAATAGCGCCGCCCACTATCAACCTCTCCACCATCAGCACTGGCAAACTGCATTGCTGTTTATTTTAATGGTTTAATGTGTGTGTGTGTTTGCCTGTGGTTGTTGTTTTTTATACCCTAAAAACATTGGAAATGCATTTAGAGGTTATATTGTTTTTGTGTGAAAGGGATCTCCGATCCCATAAAAGATGTTAACGCTTCATCAGGCAGACGAGCTTCGACGATTTAATTGAGTGAGTAGGAATGCGTCGATCTATCTATCTGCAAAAGCAATAGACATAAACATAAAAACAAAAATATTATCGATAAAAATCGATTTTATAATTTGGGTTTTAAACTAAAACTCGAGGATTATGCGAGCTGGATACATCAAACCAGGTATGTAGGTTCTCGTATAGGGTATATGCATTAAAAATAAATCAATTTTTGTATAACAGACCTCTCCTAACTGTGAAACAAAGATAGGGCCTTGTGCTTTGGTAAATACATTGTTCTGCCATAATTAGGTACGGAAAATTTCATAAAGATCGGACTTTAAGCGCCGATTCGGATTTGAGTAAGTAAAGAAGAAAGCTATATGGTGGTAAAGGGTATATGCTAGTCGGGCACGCCTCATCCGATCACGCTACTTGTTTTTAGAGTTGTTGCTGCTTTATTTGTTATTGTAATTGGCGAAGCCAGCGCCCGAAATGGCAAACTGCAAATTTGCGCACGGCAAATGCAACGAATTGTAAATTATTGTAACTTTTATGAATTTACGCAAATTGAAGCAGCCAGAAACAACAAACAATTGCAATGAGCTCTTGGCATACATTGTACACTTATATATATAAATGTACATGCACGATATATACATATGTGCATGTTTCTGGCCTGAAATTGTAAGCGAAACTCAATCAATTTTTTCCTCTGCTCCCTGAGTGCACAGCACATTACAACAGGCACTTGGCAACTTGGCAACTATGAAAATGGGAAAGTTCACAAATCTGTTTGGCTGGCATTTTCACAGTTCGAATGATTAATCATGATGCTTAACACAAATAAAACTAAACTGAGACATGTCACAAAAGTCAGGCCAATATTTTCACTTTCGTTTATGCAAAACCTAAACTAAGTGGAGACAATAGAAATGTGAGCGTGTGTGTGTGTGGCGGGGGGACACTACGACCTGGCTGCGATAATAAATTTTAAATCATTTGTCATTTGACGCATTTGGGTAACGAGCACCTCCAGCAGCAGGAGACACAAAACACGCAGAGCTACAAAGACCACAAGGCACTAAGAGCTCAGAAAAGACAATGGCTTGCCGATAGAAATCATTTGTACGGCTGGGACACAGCCGGAGGGGTACAGCGGGTACAGCGGGTACACCGGTAGATTCCAAGCCCCCAAAGTTTGTTGGATCAGTTTTTGGGGCCGAATCAACTGACAAATGTCTCTGGTTGCGCTGTAATTGCCAGTCAGACCGAGTCCAAGCCCAAGACAGACTTTTCTTGTTTTTCCATCTAAAGATTATCGCTTATTGAATACACACTTTTGGAAATATGTATATGTGTATGTATTATGGATCGTAATTTACGGTTTATGCTCTTTTCCTCTTGAAACTTTTTTTCTCTTCTTAAAAAACAATGTTTTGCTGATAAAATCGCTCAGCTGAGGCGACCCACAAAAAACGAAACCCAACAACAGCTCAAACATTTCTCAAAGCGGAAAACTATTTAGAGAACTTCAGAGTTGATGTTCAGGCGACAACAATAAAGCTGAAGATTGCTTGCACTCTCGTTATTTTTAAATATATACCCTGTTAACCTAGCAAAGCACAGAGTGGCTGCATTTTGCTTGCTACCATGTCAACTATAAGACATAAATAAACTGATTTCTTTACAGGGTATCCATAATTTGAGTATACTCGCCTGCAACGCTCTTACTGATAGCCTTGTTGTTGGCATACATTTCATTATGGCTTCTCGCTATGCGACTATGTGACGATTTATTTAACTACTTAGTGTATAATATTATAATAGCTGATAATAAAGCCTGATAGCAAAAAGTAGCCAGCAGGAGAAGCTCTCATTGGCACTCCGCAGTTTAAATACCCTTTCAGAAATGTGGCTTACACTCTGATTGCACTATGCGCAAAATTTCGCACATTTACATACTTCACATTCAGTTCCTATTCAGTTGGAAAAACTACTGATTGATTTGTGCAAGGATTTGCAAAGGAGCCTCATTCAAGACCTTCTTTTCGGGATATGATCATGTTTAATAACCAAAGACAGTGAGTTTATAACAAAGAGTAGCTTCTATATATACTTTATTCGTCATGTTAAATTGATGCCAAAATTAATAAATAAATAAACTTAAAAAAAAAGTGATTTGATCTGGCCGACGATAGTCTTAAAACTGAATGACTAAGATAGCTGCAGACAGACGGAACTCTCTACAAGTACACGGACACGTCTCCTAATGAGCGACAAAAGTGTAATGCTCTCTGTTAGGGTACAAATTAAAAAATGTGCTCCCTTGTTACTTGTAAATAGTATTCCACTTGCAATGAAGTGAAAATTGACATTTATATAAGACGGCATTGTAAAAGCGCCTAAGAATTCAACTATAAGTATTTTGTTGCATTTTTTACGATGACGATATTGTTATCGCTCTCCTACATAAACTGAACAGTTTTATTGGGGGACAGGAAGTTCACATTTCCATATAAATATCTGTACAGCAGCTAAAAGTTCTTGCGCTTGTACAAGTTTTAAAATATTTGTTTGTCTTGTGTGACTTTTCATATGCTTAAATATATATATGTACATTACATCATTAATGAACAGAAAATCTTACCGTCCCTTCAAGCACATAGAATGGATTTTGGGAAATATTCATGATATGGGACTCACCTGCAAGTAAAAAACAAATTGAAATATATATTAAATTATTATACTATTGAAATTATTAATTAATACAATAAATTATGAATTGTAATACTTTTAGACTCTGATTGCAATATAAATTTGAATAATAATTAAAATTTTTTGAAATTTTTTTCTCTTCTGGTTTATCTTTTAAATTTATTATTTCTTCATATTATACAAATATCTTTGCTGTTATTATTAAAATGAAATCAACTGTGGGCAAATCACACTAGATATCACTATTGATCAGTCATACATTTATCCTTAATCTATATATTGCCTATTGCATAGCCCATTAAATAAAGTTTGCGACATACTAGGTAATCCCCGTGCTTAAATCTATGCCCGATCCTCAAGCTCTGCCTGAGACATGCCAATGTGTTAGCCAATCTCGTGTTGATTGCGCAACTTCTTGTTCGAGCTGACTCCATAAACAGTTTTTAAAACCAAGACTTTTGCCATATACCAATTAATGTCTGGCTTACGCACAAGTCGAGTGAAGGCAATTGGCAACGAATCAACGAATGTTGCCTTGTATGCCACACAGGCGACAAATATGGCCAAAATGCCAACGCCAACAGCTGGCCCTCTGCGAAGCTCAAATGGCTCATTACGAGCACGCTGATGAGACCGAATCTGAGTGGCAGTTGGAGTCGCGTCTGGACTGGCTGACCGGGACTGGCCATATCGCAGCAATGAAATCGCGGTCGGGTCCCCGGACTCGGCTAAACTTTTAAATGCTGCTAATGTGCGCATGAGCAGCCCGCAGAAAAGATCGAGCAGATATGGCAGCAACGTGGACTGGCCCCGATGGCTGGTTGGCTGGCTGGTTGAGTGCCATTTGCCGATTGCTTGTTTTTTGGCGACCAGCTTGGTAAATAATATTTGTAGTTTTGGGCTCTGTACGCTGCAATTAACAGGAGAGCCACAAGCTTCGCACTCGACTTGACCCTTGCGTTGAGCGCAACCCAAGCCGAGCGCTGCCCAGCTGTAGGCTCCAGGCAAGCTAAGCGAGCACCTCCTAATGTTGCTAATTTCCAAACTGAGATGCGAAGCGCGCGATTGTGCTCCAGCGGGGGCACACTTGGACGCCAATGGCAGCTGGTGTGTTGGCGTTCGGAATCGACTCGACAATTGCATTGGAATTGAGATTTGGAATTGTAGCTAGAGTTTTACTCGGCTAGTTGGGTAATTGGTATATCAATTGTTTGCCGCATTGTTTGCTGCCTGCTCGCAAAATTTATGTCCATTTGGAAATTTACCTTATATGTCGTTGGCTGCTTTGCACAAGAAAATTTGCCTTGGCTCAGTTGTAGTTGTTGTGGTTGGCAAGCAAATTCAATTTACAATGCAAATAAATTGTCATACAAACGCCCTCAGACCGAGATCGGCAAACAATGACGATTTATATGGGCAGGAAATGCAGCCAGATCTAGATTCGACGCGGCGGCTGGTTTATTCGACCAGCTATTGTAGGGCATGCATAGGAAAACGTCTCGAATCAAATCGATTTATGCCAAAGACCGTCTGCTCAACAAGATCGGGCCATAAATGACGCCAGCTCGGGATGGCCAAGGGCCATATCAATTTGTGAGCCACATTAAATAGCCCGCCTAAGCACTTGAAGACCGAGACTGAGCTTTAGCTCAATTATGGACCAATAGGAAAATTATTTTAAATAGAATTTATCGCAAGTAGAATGGATTTTAAAACGAAAACCACTTTGGCTTTGCCTTTTACGAGCACACTAAACTCAAGAAATGAACCAAAAATCATAAAAACTATAAACATAGTGGAGTAATCAGCGGGCGTGCGGCGGGAGAGGGGGCGAAATGCAAAGGTTATCTCCAGGCGAGGCGACTTCACAAAACTGTCGCCATTGTTGCTCTCGTCTGCCTCAGCCGCGCCCCATTCGAGGTTATCAATTTGATGGCAGGTCAGTCTCTTTCTCAGTTTCAGCCTCAGTCGCTGCCGCATTCCCCGTTTCAGTGGTTTCCTCTGTGCAATTGGAATACTTATGACTAATCTGGCAAGTTTTCGCTTGACCCCAGCAGACAGAGGCACAACCGCAACCACAGAAACAACAGCAATCGCCTCATGCGATTCGGTTTGTTGTTTTTTTTTTACTAGTGTGTTTACTCATTTTTATTTTCATTTTCGAATTCATTGCACGTTCTACAAATTTGAATATGAATTCAACATCTTTATACCCTTGCATTGGGTATATTCAGTTTTGTACGCAATAGGAAACATGTTTGATCTATATCAAAGACAAATATCGATTTTGGGACTTGCCAGGCAAAGCCTAAAGACTTGATATTCAAGAAAATAATTCTCGCTTATCATACGTAGAAAGAGTTTATCTATTTATTTGGTGGATATCTCCTAACTTCATCATAATATTGATAAATATCTATTTTGAGACTTGGATTTTTAAGCATAACTAGAAAATTTTTAAAATGGATACTCCATACTTGGTACATAGTTTCTCTTAGGGATTACACATTAGAATCTTTCCAAGTGTAGCTTAAGAATCCTTCGCTAAAGAATCTCTGTTAACAATCATTCGCGTTTTAGACATATATCAGACTCTTTTAGGGTATCTCTTAGTCGTGCACTTCCGACTGTTGCACTCTCGTTGTTTTTGCTGTTGCTGCCTCAATCGAACAGCAGCTGTGAGTCGAATGAGTCAGTTGCGAGGCGTTGAAAGATTTAATCGTGCTGCGGCGGCTGTGCCCCTTAAGCCTACTCTGCACAAATGAATGCGCTGCCTCGGCGCTAAGGGGAGGTGAGGTTTTTGTTGTAAGTCCAGTTTTCAGTTTCTGGCATGCCCGGCATGTTTTGTCTCGCATTTGTGTCTATGTGAATACGGCCCCTCCCAGGTGCACACACAACATGCATTTGGCTGCTTTCAAAGCTTTTCGTTTCCCCAATTCTCGCATATCTTTTAATTAAACATTCGTAAACAAAACAAGACTTGTTCCACATAAAACATTTCAGTTCCGTCTATTTATAAACTATTTATGCCCCACAATTGACGTAGGTTCAAATATTTTGTTTATACAAATAAATTGGCAAACAAATTGAGATACTTTCGTGCGGCTATCTTTTGTTTAAGCGAATATGCACTGTGGTTAATTTCCATGGAAATCGTAGAAGAATTCCAAAAATAATTTTTCAGAATCGTCTTAGTCACACTTCCTCAATGCCATGCCTTGCCAGTTCAAAATGTATTTGAAGTGCTTGATGCAGCGACTCGGATGAATTTCAAGTGCATCAACAAACAGTAGTACATGATGATAGCTTGGAGTAGAGATTTGCGATGACCTCATCAGCAGTTCCCTAGCTGCCTGAGCTGATCTGAGCACCCACGCCCCCGGCCCGCTGGCTGTCAAGCACAAATAAAAATGTGAAATATGAAAAACTAAATAATGAAAAGTGTTTTCAGCAGCAGCAGCAGCAGCAGCAGCAAGAGCAGAAGGGAAAAGCAAAATGAAAATATTATGGCTGGCTAAAGAAAATCTACAAGGCGCCAGCTGCAGGGCAGAGCAACCCGACAAGGTGACATTAAACTAGCACACAACCAGCAGAAGACGCAGCCAGCTGCAGCTCCTTTGCGCACAAAGATGGCTTACTCGGCTGCCACATGCTCTCCACTCGACGGCGGGCAGCAAGAACTCCAAAGCCAAGCTGGCAAATGTCAACACAAACAATGCTATTGGGCTGAGCTTGTGGTCGGTGGCTGGAGCTGGCGGAGATGGGCTGAAAGCTGCACTTGGGGGCTTGCCGTCAGCTGGGTGTGCGTCGTGTTAACCCTTTGGTCCGTTCGGCGCTTAGTAAGCCCTACTGATGTGTCTGCTGCTCTGGTGCTCTGGTAGTCTGGCAGCCTGGTGGTGGGCAGTGGCAATTGCAGGTGCACCAGGATGCGAGTGGTTGGTATCAGCAGGCAACAGCCGGCCACCGCGTCCTGGCGCATCCTGTGTTCCTTTGACGCCGCCAAGCATCGCCGCATGGAATTTTGCAATTTCTTTGGGATTTCGAAATTGCTTTTTCTACTTTTGCTCAGCTCGCGAGCGTCGCGCCTTTTCTTTTCGTCTGCCACCCCGCCATCGCTTGAACCAACCGAACGCCATCAAACTTTACCACCATTTTACCAGGTGGTTTTTCCAACTCCCACTTCGCATTCTGCTCATCCTTCTTATCCTTCAATTCGCATTGTTGGCCTGCGTTTCTTTTGAGGCCAGCAACGGTGTCGGCAGGAGGGAGCGCAACAGAGAGAGAGAGAAGAAAAAAAATCGATCAAGAAAAATGACTTTTGTGGGTTTTCGTAATTTTCATTGCACGCGTAATTGAAATTTTCAAATTCCTGCTTGCATTTTTCTTTGCCCATCTCCTGCCGTTTCCCTGAGTCCTTATTCCGCCGCTTATATCCATTTTTATCAGCGCAGCGGCAGGAAAAGCGGAATTTATATGATGATAAAGGAAAATAGTCCGCCCCCTGACAGCTCTGGGTGTTCCTCTATTTGCTCCTGTCCCAAGGACTCGCTGCTGCTCGTGGCTGTGTTTCATTATGCTTTCATTATTTGTCGAAATTGTGTTAATCTTTAAACTTTCGAGTTTCGAAAAATATTGCACAAAAGCGTTCAATGTCGGCGCTGATAAATTGATGGCAACTTAAACGACTGCGTGGCCGGATAAGAAGGTAACTCCGTATTTCTCTACTTCTCTATATTACTGTTTTTCTATATTTCGCTTCTTCATTTTCTATCGATTATTGAATTTGGAAAATGCTTTACGAACGTATTTGGGTGAATGCATCCACTGCATCGCAAGTAGCTCAAATAGGCAACTAGTTATGAAGTATAATGGCAAATGGCTTGGCAAGCAGCTTAAATAAGGCACTTACTCAGACGATGTCCTCAAGGAGTACGTAGTTACAACGCTCTATTGGCCACACAAGCACACCCACACACCCATACACATACACACGGCAACCACTACAACTGGAGCATTGTAAATTCCAACTAATAATTTTGTAACCTTATCTGGCTGTCGCTGTCACAACAGCTCAGGAAAAGAGGCCACAGCCCCGCAAGAGGAGGTAGAAGGAGTAGGAGAAGGTAGGGAGCAAGCCCGAGAAAAGCGCATATCCCACAACGATAATGAAAATGTCACACGAGCCTCGCATTTTCTCATCACCAGCGGACGACGGACGACCAGGCGGGTGAGAAGGCACCGGCACAGGCAGAGGCACAGGCTCTGACACTGGCACAGCTCGAGCCTCGTCCTAGTCCTAGACTGATGTGCGAGTGCAGTCGGCAAAAGGAGCCAAGAACAGGAACAACAAGAACAACAATGCCAGGCAACGACAATGTTGACAACAACATAAAGGTAAATCCTAAATAATGCGCTGCGCTCACTTCACAACACTGCACGACGGAGTCGCCGCCGTGTTGTGGGAATTGACCCGTAAGAGAGAATCCAGCTCAAAAAAGATAACAGAGAGTGGCACAAGAAAAGCCAGCAGGCAATGGAGCCGGCAGAAAAACTTGCGCCCTGCTACTTAAAGAGTTTAATTAAAATTGGATCAAATCAAGGATCAGGTATGGACCAATTCTGCAGAGATCTTTGCAAGCTAAGAGAAGTACATTTCTTCCAGCAAATTCTGAAATTCCGCGATTCCAACAGAAGATTCGAAACAGAAGAACCTTGAGGCAGACATGCCTCGAGCTATAAACCGAACAACCGACGACATTTGTGGTGCTGGCAAGCCAGGAGACGAAATGCGCAACGTTCCGCTTACGGTCATCGTTTGGATGTGGACCCACTCCTCGGCAGGTGCTAAGAAAGCAAAACTCCCGGCGAGCACAGTATGCGGTTAGCTTTAAGTTCCAGCGAGGCAACTACCCGAAGTACAACAAGGCGATTATAGTTTTGCCGCTGCTGCTGTAGACAGACTTAGTGGCTGTCGTAAGTTCTAATTTCTTATTATTAGGCGTGGCCCAGCAGTGCCAGTGGTGCGAGGAGCGTAGGGGGCACCAGAAGAGGGGCTAACCGCACAAGTTTGCTGCTGTGGCATAAAATTATGGCCCCAACTACCGCCGCTGCATATGAAAATGGCGGCTGGCAAATAGTTTGAGCAAACTATTTCTTTGCCGTGCTCTCGAGTCAGTTCTTGCGTTCGGTGTTTTTGTTGTTGTTGTTGTTGTTGTTTTTGTTTTTGTTGGTGGTGCCGCTGCTGCTGTGGTTGACTTTGTTATGGAGCTTCGGTTTTGCTTTTATGTCTTATGGTTTTGTTAGCTGGTCGCCATATTGGTTGCACGCCGGGCAGATTGCAATTGCAGAGCCTACTTTTTAGGGACTGGGCAGAAAGTTTTGCATTTGCAGCTCGGCGTTGGGGATTTAATTAAAGCGGCGATTGGAATCTGCGAAGCAACTGCTTGGCCTGGCCAAATGTCGACTTGGCACCCAACTCAAACTCGAGCTTAACCAGGTTAACAGAGAAGTTTCTACAGGCATACAATGAAAGTCAATTCAGCTGTCAAATTAAACAATTGTACAATGCAGCAAATGAAGCACGAGGCAAGTGGGCAAAAACTAAGCACCAAACAATGACGCATTGCCAGTAAAAAGTGCAAAGTGGAAAGTGGAAAGTGCAAGGCAATAAACCCACACAGCAGCAGAGCAAAAAAAAAATTGAAAAACAGACAAAGGAACGCCAAGAAAATTCACAAAAAAAAGGCGAACTGCTTCAGCTGTAGAGGATATGGATGCGAATCAGAATGAAAATGACGATGACGATGAGGATGAGAATGAAAATGAGGATGGGCTTGCCAATGGGGGTTAGCCCAAGCCCATTATTGTTTCCATTTAACTTACAACATTTTGCACTTTGGCCAGCCATTGAAAATCAGCGTCAGGAAGACATACGAGGGCCAAAATAGATCAAGGAGCGGACGCTGAACAAAAAAATGGCTAAGAAAATTGTGTGTGAAAATGAAACTGATTGAAAATAGACTGACTTGAAAAAGGGCTGCACCTAAACAAATACTTGGAGGTGCTGCGAATTAAATGAAGCTTGTCAATTGCTTGATCGAATGCAGTTCTAGCAAAGTTTTGTGGTTACCGATAGCTATTAGCCGAGCAGAGTTAACTATTCAACACTTAAACTGCTTAATCGAGCAGTTTCCCAACACTACAAGGATTTACTTCTTTCTCTGCGTCATGCCTTGTCCTAAAGCTGGCCCTCCAGTCGCTAGTAGCTGCTGTCACAACTTTACCTCCATGAATATTATTATCACGAACGTCCGCGCCGTCGCCGTCTCCATCACAGTCTGATGTCGCGACGCGTTGCCGGAGGGTTCTGCGTTCCCCTTTCCTAACAAAAAAAGAAAGTTGCACCGCTTTCATGACAATGATGACGGCGTCTGTTTCCGCTTTTGACGCAGTTGCCGCCGCCATTTTAGGCGCTTTCTGTGTAGCCGTAGCTTTGCAGTATTCCCGATTCGTGTTTTTTTCTTCCTCTTTGTGGCCTGCAGCATTTGTCTCGGACTGAGCCTAGGTTTTCGCTCCTTTGCTATATATTCTGTTTTTTGCTGCAACAACAACAACAACAACAGCAGCAGAAGCAGCAGCAGCAACAATTACAACTTTAACGGCTACAAGTTTGCAACAGACAAACGTTGGCAGCGCCGCCGCCGTCGCCGCCGTTGCGCAAACGTTGTGCAAACTTTTCCACTTCATTGCATGATTGCAATTTTTACGCAAAACAATTTTATTTGTTTGATTTTTGTTTTGTTTGCATGCGACTGTTGCACTGTACCACGGCCGATTGTCGCAAAGGTCTGGGGCATGCGACTATCCGATCGAATGGGGTAAACATCAAGATTTGCATTAAATGAAAAGAAAAATTTTAGTTTAATTGAAAAAGGGGCTCTGTAACACAAGCATTGTTATGAAAAGCAAGAGATTGTTCAAGGCATTCCATTTGGTATCTCTCTATACACCAACATACCCTGTACTCTAAGTGTATCCAAACACTTTAGAATATGTAGATTGCAGATTACAAATTTATTTAATAATTTTCTATATGTGTTTTACTAACTATATAATATTACTGGATTTATTTTGAGGAATATGAGCATGAATATTCAATTTGTCACTTGACGAATGAGTAAACCTGCTTTTTGCCCCCGTTGCTGCGGCCTTCATTCATGCATTTAAAGCAAAATTATTTCACTTTTTAAATAAAACAAGCGTACGGATTTTTCTGAGAGACGAGCCCTCGACTAAAGTACTCTTAACTTAATATGAATTTTGTGTGATATCTTACTGCATTCAGATCTGTGTAAGTCAAGCTGTCAGAATATAAATCCCAACTGTGTGCCCGAAATCAACTAATTTCGTGGCTTGATTAATGTTAATCTGTCCGTGGCAACAGATTCATTATTCAAAACTTTTCAAGTTAAATTGGCTACAGTACGGCGTCGCTCAATGCTACACAAGAATAAGATAAGGTCAATTGCAAAAAAGGTTTCAAGAACTAATTTTCCATATGCCAACCGAGCTGCTTTCAACAAAATATCAAAAATAAATCAAAAATATGTTTTTATTTTAAAGTTAAAAATTTGTTTTGTTGAATTTTACATTATATATTTTTGTTCAGTTATTTAAGCCGGTTTTAAACTAGAAACTGAGTGTTGCATAGTCGGTCGACTGTAAAAATCGACCTATGTCGGGGTGTATCTGGAAATCTAACACGGCCGACTGAAGCATTCCTGCATGTTTTTAATAAGTTTTTAATCATTTTTTATTTTACTCCTTTCTTTTTGGGGTCTTTGTCTCGGTTTTTAGTCTAAGGCGGGCTCACACTTTCCCAAATTATTTATTCATTACGGCGCTTTTATGTTCTTCAATGATTTTGTACGGCTTTACACTTTCATTTCGTATAGGAAGGAGTTGAGCTTTTTTTTTCTACTATATTTTTTTTGGGATATTTTCTTCAATTTGCATTTTCTCATTTTCATTTAGACCTTTTATTCATTGTTTATTTAATTATCTTTTGTATTGTCAAGTGGCTGATTTTTTTTTGTTTTTTAAGGTTTTCCTCTTACGGCCTGTGGTCTGGCAACGGGGCAGTATTTGGGTTGGCTTTTAAGCCATTGTGTAAGTGGGGTTACATCCCAGGAATTTTAACAGGGTTTATGGCTCTTTGGATTTGTAGCGGCACGTGCAAGTGCAGAAGGGTCTCTAATGGGCTGGAGCTACAAATGAGTGGTAAAAAGTCTTTGATACTTAATTAATAAATCCTTAAAAATGTTTACTCGACTTAAACGAAAGTCTTCAATGAATTAAGCAGTAGTAAAGCCCTTGGAATTTACACTCGACTTTGTTCTTAATCCATTGAAAATTCCTGGATAAACTATTTCCGTAAACTAAACAAATAGAAGAGTAGCAAGAACTCAACGCGCAGCTGAAAGTAAATAAAATTGTATTCAATGGAGTACAAGCGAAAATAAAGCACTGACAAACACAAAAGCAATTTAACTCAGGAAAATTACATACACAAAATAAAAAAAAAAAAATGCACACTAGGAAAATCATTAAAACGTCTGAAGGATGACAGCAGCTATAAAGACGTCGGCGATGTCAAGGGAATGAGGCCAAAAGCTGCCCGGAAATGCGGCAACAATTGCAGATTGGACTCTGCGCAACAGCTATGCCCTCCGCTCAGGATGCAATTTAGAATGAAGGAGCATTAAAGTGAATGGCAACGGGGGCGAGAATAGGGAAATTAAAACAGGCCCAGCTCCTGGCGAATGTGGGTCAATAGGCAAACGGCAACAGCAGGTGGGCTACTCATATTCGCGCAGAGACCCGGCACCGAAAAGTTTTCTCTTAAGTTTCGGTTGGGGCTTTGTTTTCCGGCGTGGCGCAAACCAAATTAAATTTTCAGCCAGTCCCTTAAAGGGTTAAAGCGGTTGGCCGGACTTGGACTTTGACTCGCACTGCATTGCCTTTTTACGCTTCAAAACTTTTTTAACAAACATATTCGATTAACTGGCCATGGAACTGGCTGCGATTGTGGGCGGGGCAGCAGCTCGTCCTTTTCCATTGCTATTCTCTATTTATCGAAAACCACTTGATTATGCAGGCTTATCCTTTGCCCCTTTGCCGTTGGTGTTTTCCTTTTGCCTTGTTTTATGTTTTCTTTTTTCGTTTTTTGTTCTTTATAATATTTTTCTTCTGGCTGCTTCACTTATGTATGTCCGACCCCGCAGTGGGTGGGACAGGAGCTTTAGTTTTTACTGGAGCGTGAAAATTCGTTGCAAATCCTTTCTCTTTTTCGGCTTGTGTAATATTTATGATTTCCTGTCGATATATTTGACTGGGCTTTCCTTCTTGTTTGCCAGTTCTTTTGGATTTTTGTTTGATTTCGGTTTGACTAATTTATAAATTGTATTTTCTTGTTAACTTGAAATTTTATTTGGCATTGCTGCTACTCGAGCGTTTCAATTTATATTCGAATTTTTACATCCTTCCCTTAAAACGATTTGCGAAAAATGTTTGCCAATTATGTTAATTTGATGGATTGGCTTGCTTCGCAGTGATACACAAAATTCTTAATGAATAATAATATAAAAAAAATAATAACAATTAAAAAGGACGCAAATTAATAAAAATAGAACTTAATAATTTTGGCCAAGCTTAAAAGTTCTTCTTTTCCCATATATAAAACATATCTCATCCTTTCTCTATATCGCTTTTCTCACTCTCTCTTCTCCCATTTGTTCCTGGCACAAAATAAACTTGTTTAAATGCAAACATAATGCAATAAATTTTATTTCCTTTGTCAGCAGTTTACACAATTTGTTTGTGAATTATTGTTGTTGGCATTTTCTACCGACAAAGTAAGTACGGCTTGTAAATTAAATTGAATTTATTGTACTCGCAGTCGCAGTCTGTAAATTTCCTGATATGCTCTGGACGCACTTTTAAATGGTTTAAAACATGTATTATAATTAAATTTTGTATAGTGGCAATATGCAATAAACTGATTCGAATATAAGTACAAGTGAAACCCTATAAAATTATATCATCAAATTTAATTTTCTTATTTTCAGCAAATACACGATTGTTTACTGCTGCTGGTGAGTCAACAAAATTCTCTTTTTTATACCCCGAATCCATTGAACATGTGTAAAAAGGGTATAATGGGTTTGTGCAGATGTATGTAACAGGCAGAAGAAAGCGTTTCAGACTGCATAAAGTATATATATTCTTGATCAGCCTCAATAGTCGAGTCGATCTAGCTATGCCCACCTGTCTTTCAGTCTGTACCTTTACCAGCTAGAGTCTTTTAATTTTGTCTATCTTTTTCAGCAAAAAAAAAGTTTTTTTGGCTAGTCACTAAATTTGACAGGTAGCTGCTATAATTGTAATTACAAATGACATATGCTAGAATTGTAATTACAAATGACATATGTTTTATTTTATGGATACCATCCCCTAGCCTTAGCTGTATTTGGTGTTGGTAGCAGCAGACTAGGGTATCCCCTAGTCAGGCACTCCCCACCAGAGACCTCTTATAGCCAAATCGTATGTGATTTAAATACAAGCTGCGAAATCTTTTCGAATATGTCCATTAAATCGTGCCGCCAGCTGTTCAACATTTATAGTCTGCATCGCGTTTCATAAAAGTAACAATTTATGCAAAATAGTTTTCACAATCGATTCAGATTTATAATGACTAATTTGGCGGTAACATTTCAAAGAATTGTTGTCATAAAAAAAAGAACTGTAAAAAAGTACACAATAAAATGTACCGAAAAAATATAAATGCGAATGACGCGTGACTAAGCAATAAAAAATTACACAAAAAAAGACATTTTCCAATTTTTTTCAATTGAATTAAATGAACAACAAAGAAAAACCAGAGTCAAAGCCAAAGAAAGCCGCACGCATTCGAAATGTTAATGCGATTCTAATAAATTGTCAAAAGAGTTAAGCTAAACACATACAGAACGGAGGAGCGCCACGAAAAGTGTCAAGAAATGAATGAGAATTTCAGAGGAAGGAATGTCATAAGTACAAAAAAAAAGACCCAAATGAATTTCAAATGCATGCAACGCACGATTGACAGCCGTTGAACAAAACAACGAGCATGGTAATGCAATAAGACACTCCCAGGAACACAAAGGTTTTGGGCTATGGAGTGTGGGGATCTGTCTCGAGGCCCTTCGACCACCGACCACCGAGCAACCCAAGAGTCTGGCAAGCCGCCTGGTTTTTATCACCAGGCGGAGTGTGAAATGCATTAAGCACAACTGTAAATACGATTTTGAGGGTCGCAAGAACTCCATCCTTCATCCCTCATACCGTTATGCCCCGGTCTAATTACTCGGACTGCTCTTTCCCTGCACAAGCTGCTTCGTCTTAGTACATTACTTTTCTTATCTAGGTTCAATTTTAGTCTTTGACTTGGTTTGGGGCTGGTCTAGGTTTAAAAGTCGTTCTTGTCTTCGTCTTTAGAGTAAAAATTAGAGTTTATTTATTTATCTTCAGGTTAACAAAGTTGCCAATCACCTTATCTGCTTGGTAAAACTTGTCAATCAACTCAACTGTCTGGCAACGCCAAATATAATTGTAGCGTTGCCCTGCTTTTGTTTTTTTTTTTTAATATGCAAGAGTGGCAGAGTCTAAAAGTAGTTTGGACCCTTTGGTGGTATATATTTAATTTTTATTTTAAGTGATATAAATATCATAGATTTAGCAAATCAAATGCGCATCATGTTTTATTATATCGTATAAATATTAACTTTTCAATCAGCTGTCATGGCTCAATAGTGGAATAAGGGCGGCATATAAAACGTTTGCCTTTCATGGAACACATTTTTCAGTTGTTGAATTCACATATCCGTCAAGTGGTCGCATCAAGTCGAATGGAGCAGTCAAGAAGCATCCAAAACTCCATATGAATTGTTTTT